TAAGAGAGGTCCAAGAATCGAACCCTGAGGGACTCCAAACTGTATTTTCAAGGCGTCAGATTTCTCACCAACAACTTCAGTATATTGTGATCTATTTGTTAAGTAACTTTTTATAAGATCATTTGCCACCCCACGTATCCCATAGCCCTGTAATTTGACAAGTAATGTACCATGATCTATTGTATCAAAAGCTTTGCTAAGGTCTATGAATATGCCTAGGACATGATGCTTAAGTTTTAGAGATTCAGTTATAAGGTTTACTGAGTGATTAACTGCATGTGAAGTAGAGTGTGACTGCCTGAAGCCAAATTGTGTTTTAGATATTATACCCTGTGAGCTAGCAAACGAATATATTCTTGAGTAAATGATCTTTTCAAAGATTTTACCAAATATAGAGAGAGTAGAGATTGGGCGGTAGTTTTCTATCTCTTCAGGGTTTCCCTTCTTAAATACAGGAGTTATTCTACCAGTCTTTAAAACGTCGGGGAACGTGCCATTAGACATTAAGATGTTGATGTATCGACTAAGGATCGGTGTAATTATGTGAGATGATCTTTTGATTACACTAACAGGAATATCACTTGCTTTTCCATTTTCAAATCCTTTTATTATTTCCGTTATCTCATAAGGTGTACAGTCTTCTAACATAATCGATTTTTCATTAGTCTTTCCAAGGAAATCATAGAATGTTTTTATAGGGAGAATTGGTAAACCAGAGGCCTCACTGCTACTAAGTGTTTCATTGAGCTTAGGGGCAATAGAAACAAAGTAAGAGTTGAATCCATTGGCTATGACTCTACGATTCATGATTCGTTCGTTGTTTATGATAAAGGGAGGCTTAGTTTGCTTCTTTTTCTTGCCCCTGAGCTCATTGATTATCTGCCACGTTTTTTTGCTGTTTTCTATATTTTTATGGATTTCATTGCAGTAGTACGATCGTTTGGCGACCTTGATAATACTTTTAAGCATTCTTCGGTAGTCACTGAAGACTTTATAGAGCAGTACATTACCCTCAGGGTTTCTATTTGTTACAGTGCTTGACCAGTCTCTACAGAGTTCATGTTTTCTTTCAACTGAGACAATGATTCCATCGGTAATCCACGGGTTGAGTTTGGGAGTCCTTTTGGTAACTTTTGGTACATCAAGCTTACAGTGTTTATCAAGTGTTTCATTGAAGCAGTCCAAGAACTCATTGAAGTTTACCGAGGGAGTTAAGTCATTCACCTTCACCTCGAGTTCATTAACAAAATTAGTGAGTTTGGAACTTGAATAATCATAGTAGCGAACATGTTTAAGTTTTTCAGTACTGTTTTCGGTAGGAATTGACGTGAAGGTGAATATAAAGGCATGGTCACCAATCCTATCATTCAATACACCGGAAAGAAGTACATGATCTATCTCTGATGTGAGGATATTGTCAATACATGAGTTTTTACAGTTAGGACGGAAGTGGGTAGCAAGTGATATAGTAGGATACATATTGTTACGAAGTAACGTGTCCTCAAATAACTGGCTGGAGGTTTGTACATTGAGGAGGTTAGAGTTAAAATCGCCAAGAATATGGAACTTTTTACCAGCCAACTGCTTAGATATATCCTCAAGAGTTTGACAAAAGGTCTCACTACAGCCATTTGGAGGACGATAAGCAACCCCATATGTCAGTTTATCACCCGAGCTAAGAGTAATTTCAACAAATAAGCACTCAATATCTTTTGTACAGTGAGATAGATTTTCGATTACTACAGCATTCAGGCGATCAGAGACATATAAGGATACTCCTGTTCCTTTTTTCTTATCAGGGAATGGTACTTGACAAAATGTTGTATAGGAGGGGATTTGGTATAAGCCTTGTTGGCTTGGATCGATGTTGGTCTCAGCCAATCCAATGACATCAAAATTACACGGGAGGGTCTTATGTTCTATTAAAAAGCTGTCAAAATTACTAGCAAACCCATCTATATTGCAAAACAGAGCGGGCAGATAAGCAGAATTTTTATTTTTCTCAGGAAAAAGTTTGCTGATTGAGTTTGCTAGTTCTTGTTTTGTGTAACGCTTACAGTCTTCAAGTATTGAAGAGAATTTAGCTATGGTGACATCTTCCTGGTTGTTTGTATCATAGAATTTATCTGAATCATCATATCTTTGGCTGCTTGGAAATGGGCAATACCTATCTTCTATTGTACTACAGCAATCACTACACATCCATAGACCGTTTTTGCTTGTAAATTTCGCGGATCTGAAGCACTTAGTATGAACAACTTTGCTGCAATTTTCACATTCTAAGAGTGGCTGGCCAATATTAATGTATTTACTACAGGGGTCGCACACATCTTTAATAAGTTTCATAATCATGATAAACTAAGTGGGATAAACTCCCACTGGTCGGGTGGCCTTCCTTTGTCTTACTCTCTCCTGTCTCTCCCTCACATACACCCACTGTTTCAGACATCTCACAAATTTAGCAATACCAAGCTCTCCGAGATGGATTTCATCACCATTTCTCGTGAGTTTCATAGCAAGCAACCCTTTACCGTCTAAAAAGTGGCCAACACCAAGGTGCCATACATTCTGGTTAAAGCTAGAGTACAACATTTCATCAACCAAGCTGTTGAATGCCATAATGTTTTTATTCATCTTAGGGAGTCTAGACGGTAAAACTGCTGTGACAAACAACTTCGCCTTAGGGCACAGTTTCTGGATCTGCTGGATTTTCAGGTGGAGAATGTCTACCAGCTGGTGTATATCACCAGGTGACTGCACATTTTCAACTCGTAGATCGTTGGTCCCACAAACTAAGATGACGTTGCTATAACCAATGCAGAGCTTAGGGTCTATTGCACTGACCTTGTTGGCTTTAACACGTTCACCTGGGAAGGACTGTCCAAGGGTTCCAGTACCGACACCGAACTTGATGGGCTTGGTGTTAGAGTCGCCCATGATGATGCAGCTCCGGCTGAACTGTTTGCTCACAGTTCTCAGTGTGATGGAGAACCTTCCTGTCTGCACAGAAGACTGAGTTTCAGCAGGACCTGTTTCATCAATACCGTGACGATACCAGGCTTGTGACGATCGTGTCATCACATACATTGAGTTAGATTCTGGACTCACACTATGAACATACTCAGTTGAGGCTTCGTTTCCGGTCTCATGGATGCACTTAAAGCACACCTTCCTGACGTCGCCTATGCTGATAGTAGCAATTTCTGAGTTAGCAATAATCTCAGACTCATCGTCAGAGTGAAAAGGGAGCTTGCTACTAGTGGTGGTATCAACTGAGGGAGGGTAGTAGTTTATTAGGATGGAGTTGGGCTTATGGGTCAGTCTGCACTTTGATGTAACTGCGTCTATGGCTGAGGCAAGGGGTGCTGGGATTGTGGGGGATAGGGGTGGGTCTGAATCACCAGTATAAGAGTAGTCTTCCCCAAACTTGAGGACCTGTCTTCCATTCTTCGGGATGAACTTATTACTAGCTTGGCTCTCCAGGAGAAACTCTGTAACTTCTTTGAGGATCTCAGCACTTAGCACATCGACCAGGTAATCACACACTGGAGGTTCTGTGCATTTAAGGAGGGGGATTTCTGTAGCAGGTGGTGCTTCAGATGGACTTCTGGACTGCTGAAATTCATGAATCTCTTGACTCAGCTTCTTCAGTCTTGTCTCCAGGGATACAATCTCCACAGTAGGCATACTGTTACCAACAGCATTAGAAATAGCATCTGATATAGCCTGTATGTTCTGGCTGTAGTCTACAGAGCTCTTTAGGTTGTTGTCCATCTTGGCTGACATGCTGGAGCCTGGTCTGGGGAATGATGTATCGAAACACCATGGACATAGCCATTCTGAGAGAATAATATTCAGAGAAGCTTCAAGAGGTGTATCGTGCTGAATGTTGTTAGCACCCTTGAGATTGCAACAGGAAGCATGCCAGTGCTGAAAACATCTGGTACACTTGAACTTCCATTCCTTACCATCTGATGTTGATCGGCAAGGACAATCACTCTTTGAAGCCCGTTGTTTTACTGTAGGTTTATCCTGGATTTCAAGTTCTTCAGCAGACTCTTCAGCACGGGAGAATGGAGGAAAGGACTTGTACAGAGGGCTCATTGGACTGCTGGGGCTCTCTCTGAGGTTCGATGATTCTAAAGCTGATATCAGGTTTGGGCTGATCTTTTCAATAACCAGATTACCTGGAGGTTTAAGAACAGATGTCTCTGGTTGTTCTTGGGGTGACTTTGATGGGCGTTTACCCAGCACAGCTTTCTGGGCCATTGCGCTAGGGCTGTTCCTGCGCAGGGCTTTGTTGTCTGCTAGAGGTTTCTTCTTTTGGGAGGTAGCTCCTCTGCCGGATGGTGACATGCTAGCTCTGGATCCTGGGTTGGTAGGAGGAGGAGTGTGTCTAGGGGAACGCCTTTGGGTACTAGCACTTGAGGTAGTAGCCATGATGATATGATATCAGAGATATGTCCGGAGTCCAGGGGGCCAGCTTGGACAGACCCCTGCACCTGAAAGGAGAAGAGCATCAGCCGGTTCATTGTGAGTGATATGAGGTGGGTTAAGTGGGAATATGATTGAATAGAATTTTTTCAAGAACTTTCAAAAGAGTGATTGAAGTATTCAAAAATATATAAATCATTCAAAGGTCAGACACACTAACAACAACAGGACAAACTGGGTTTGGATGGGGTGATTTGGTTTGAAATTGTTAATTGTGTAGGTAAAATTGTTTGAGCAGAATTTTCAGAGTAAAAATAAATAAACAAAAAATTTGTTGAGACAGGTATTCAGAGAATGCCTATCTTGGAATACTTCAACACTACTATATATTTTTTTGGACTAGCAATGGTTTTTTATTAGGTGTAGTGACTAGTGGTATGTGAACACATGACGAACCGAACTGACAACTCAACTCATTTTCTAGGAGCAGTGATCCATCCTCCCTGAGCCCCCCATCGTCCAAACAAGGTCTCTAGTTCATTGTTAACATAACCATTGCTAGTCCTCAAATTATTTGTTATATAGTAGTGTTGAAAGTATTAAAAAAGTTAAGCACGAGTTTAATTTTGAGCCACTTTTTTGGTAGCTTCAAGTAGCTATAGCCTTACCAACTCTGTGAAAGAAATGATTAAAAAACCAAAAATTCCATGCTCCAAGCCAAGTATGATGCTATAGCTGAAATGTTTTATTTTGTTGGTGCAGCATCTACTGACTTGACTCGAAAGAGCAAGCGACTCAATAATACCAAAGAGTCCTACTGAGGCCCAGATGTTTGCGCCACTATCCCGGTAATGCAGAGATACATCTGGTACCATTGCAAGAGCAATGGCAGTTGAGTGGGGGCGCCCCTCCGAAGATTGACTACCATAGATCCCGTGTGACTATGAAATGAGACTGATCTCGCCCCATTGACATGCTCCTTAGTTTATTGTCAAAGGTGGTGCTGGGCAGATCGCTGGTGTGTTGAGGAGGTTCGGAAAAAGTAAAATAGATGGTGTGAGGTCAAGGAGATTGTGTACTGTTATGATGCCCGGTAAGTTGCTTTGGGGGACCGGTGCCTGAGTACAGAAATGGTCGAGAAAGAGGGCCTGATTGGATCGTGGGGGAGTTGCGTGTGGATGCGTGAGTTGCTTGTCACGTGATCGTGAAAAGGAAAGATAAAGTTTTGCGCGTGCGCACTTTCCCGGTTTTAGTGAGAGGATTGAAGCTTTTGATACAAGACTTTCTCAGCGCCCTACGCCGAGTAATGCCTTATCGTGGTCAGGTTGAGATGTCCCATTGGTCTTGTTAAGTTGCGGTCCGGTTGTCCGGTTTATCTATTAAGCCGATTAGCTGGCCTCTATCATAAGATAGGTATATTGGAAGTCGTGAAAAGCCCACGGCGGCATGGTGCAGGTATAGGTTCTCTAGAGGAGCTGTCCATATACCGCATAAAGAGTATAGCAGTAAGATTCTTTTATTGACACTAATGCTGCCTCGCCACAAAGTGCAATGCGGACAGACATAAGCCCTGGAAGAACCAGCAAAACCTGACAAGGATTCTCACCCTGTAATAAAGCTGAAATGTGTGACACCCAGTGGCGTAAAGTAGGGCCCCGCTGACCCCGCTGTTCAGGGGGGGGGGGGGGCGCCGTCTTAGGGGGACGCCAAATCGTCGTTTGAATGTGGGACAATTTCGAAAACTTAACTAAAGTACTAGCAAAACTGCGCGTTTTGCTCTAGATACACACTTTTTTAGAGATTTTACCGGCGTATCCTCTAAAATCACCTAATTTGTTAAATTTTAGGGAGGGGCACCAAAAGGGGAGGAGGCGCCAACAGGGGGGCGCTTTTTTGGCGGGGGCGCCAACAGGCAACGTTATGCCACTGGTGACACCTCCTCCAAGAGAGCTCTACTAATAAAACAAAGTTTTGAAATAAAATATAGTTATATTTTACTAGCAGCAAGAGAAAAAGAGGCTTCCAGTAGGCTCAACACACTGCCACTCCAAACTTGCAAGCTCCTCAATTGCAAATTAGGGGCTACATGATGATTACCCATAATCACATCAGAGACACAATGGCCAATCTCGTGCGTGAGGTATGTCATGATGTGTAAGTTGAATTCCAGCTACAGAAGACGCGGTAAATGAGGGTGACTGTCTCAACCCCAAAACTAAAACAGGTGACCAAGCTCGGCTTGATGTATCTGCTAGAGGAGTTTGGACTCCATTTGATAACACCTTTCTTGACATTAGGGTTTCACGCCCCAATTGCTTATCAAATAGGACAAAGACTCTTCGAAGAAGTGTACAAAATGAGCAAGAACTTAAAGAAAAATTAGTACCTAGAAGAGTGGACAAGGCAACCTTCATCCCAGCTATATTTCAAGAAAACAACAATTTTTTTTTTTTTCTTCAAGAAAACAACAAATTTTTTATTTAAATCAATTATAGCAACAATTTTAAAAACTTTAAAGTTCTTCTATTACCATGGAATATACTACGGGTATGGTGACTTGGGCTATTGAGTTGTTAAGTAGATTAAGATTAGTAAACCTGCACTTGCATTGTATTTATAAAAACTAGAAATTAGGCTTCACGGCAAAAAGGAGAAGCAGGCTGATCTTGGAGAGAGCAGACCGTAAAGTTTACGCACCCACCAGGGCTACCTACCTACCCCAGTTGTTCTTTTTGGTTTATCAGCTTGTATTGTTATATTTATGGACCCCAAGTCACCACACTAAAAAGAAGTATGTTTTAAAAAAAAAAAATAATAATAAGTTAAGTTAATATCATCATATAAGTTTTAAACAGTAAAAGTTAAGTTGATGATTGAATTTCCTAGTTAATTTAATGGTTCAAACGTTTGGGAATATAATAATGTTGGTATTTGTATCTGCTGCAGCAATAATATCGATATAATGTCATTTGTCTAGAAAATTTACGCCTCTTCAATAGATATTGGGTCGGCAATTTGGTGAGTGAGTGATGAACTGGTTTGGTCTGTGACTGAGTGAGGGGCGATGTGAAAGTTGTGGTAAGTCCAGGTGTTATTATTGTTGATGGATTGGGATCCCAGGATGATACTTTTACAGCGTAATTTAACCAAAGATACAGAAGTAGTGAGGATTTCCCCATTCTCATTTAGAATCTGTTTATGTATGCTATTCCACAATTTGGAGGCTATATAAAGAAACGTGTTGGTTTTTCTTGGGAGGATTATGACATTGCTTGTATCACGTTTTGATGAGTCTATAGTACAATACAACGAGTATGGAGTGCGAAATTTCATGATTCGAAATATCTCAGATATACAGTGGTATTTGTACAAGTTTTGAACAGTAAGCAATTTTAGTCGATTAAAAATGGGCTTGGTGTGCTCTTTTTCGAAAAAAGCAGCTCCTAACCTCTGTTTTGTATAAGGTCTGGCTCGTGCACAAGTGGCATGTTTGTCGAGGTATGCATTTAGGTCTCCAAAGAGGATTCTTATACAACGTTTCTGAGTTATGAACAGCTTATCGTTTGGTTGGTCTTTGAGGGCTGAGCCCCAAACACTTATTCCGTAAGCAAGATGTGATTCCACACATCTGGTATGTCGAAAGAGTTTAAGCAATTTGTCAACAAATGAGCAGATCTCATAGCCAGAAAGAGGAGAGAGATACTGTGATGTAGTAAGGCATGTAAGAACAAGGATAGGATTTGCTAGAACAACTCTTATCGCTTTTCGTGGGTACAGAGGAAAGAAGATTGACATCAAACATGAGACCCCTCTATCAGAAGTCTTGTACAACCTCATCCCTGCCCAGATGATGGAGTAGATGATGTGTTGTATTTTGTGTGTATATATATTTGATTGTTTAAAGTTCAATTCAATGAAACAATAAGTGATTTGAATGGGGATTGTAATCGGATGGTTGCAAGTTTAAAACCTGCAGGTGTCATGTAATTATAGTATAATTTCGTTTTGTAAACCTCCACTTGGATATTCAGATATGTTTTCTACTTAGTTTCTTCTTTCTTTTTGAACCTATCATGCGTGATTTACAGTATAACCTCTTTTAGTTCACACTTTCTATATTTCAATATTGTTAACAAACCAGCTTGAACTTAAATGGTATTAGCTCTAATAGTATGTTAGGCCGCAAGGTGGGACTGTCGCGCGTGTTTTTGTGTTGATTGCTATGATGTGTAGTGTACAGTTTATTGCTGTTCTTATTGTTATCATCCTTAGTTCTGACAGAGCAAGATGGTAGATGTAACAGCTCTTTCAAATTATGAACTTCGTGACAATCTTACTGAATTAGGATTTCAACCAGGTAAATATTTACATATCAAATTAAACAATTAGCTTCAGATATTTTATTGCATATTAAATTAATTAATAGTTATAGACTGAAATGGATATTCTTTATATCAAACAAAAATATGTATCATTCATTGAGTTTTGAGTTAGATAACAGTCACAAGCTGTATTCTTTTTCAATTTTTCGAATTTATGGATATTTTAACTATTTTGAAGGTCCGATAACTGAAACAACAAGAAGGGTGTATGAATTAAAGTATCTGCAAATGATTGGGGAAGTTGACAGTTCAGGTAGGAGAATTTTAAGTTACATCAATCCTAAAAAGCAAGTCGGATCATTGATTTTCCCTGACTTAAAAACCTATTTTAATACATTTAGCTTCAATTTAGTATGTAACACTGTTGCACAGTATGCTCACTGTGTGTTGACAATTACACGCTGCTTTTTCCAGATTCAGACGGAGGTATAGACTTAGCCAGTGCTCGACCCGTCAGATTAACCTCTCCCGTAAAGCGCACCAACATTCCACACCCAACACCTGAACCAGCTTCAGCCTCATCCTCAGCCTCTGATTCCGAGCAGGTTCAGGTGACACCAGCTGAGCGGAGCGCTAAGTGGAAAGTGCGCATTGCTGCTGTTTTCGCACTTGCCATTATTATGTATTTCTACTTTGGTTCAGGGTCTAATTAAAACTTTGAGTAACTCCATCATTTCTTATTTGATGTGATGTTTCAGTTGAGGATAGGGGCATAAGGTTCTGGGAATCTTCAGTATTTTAAACGGAGATTTGTTATGTCTTGCATGAGAAATCTGCGCCAATCAATCGAAGATTTCGAAGGATTTTTGATTATTTTCAGCGCGTAATCATGATGAGCAAGTGACTGTAAAACTTTTGTGAATCTTGGTATGGTACCAACTAACACCGAGTTCATGAATAAAAAAGAACTTGCCATCATGGATATTTTAAATTCTCTATTATCATTGTATGAGCATTGCTAAACTGTAAACATTTGTAAATCTTTATTCTCTGTAGCATTTTCAACCTCATTATGTTACTATCACCAAGTTGGTAGTGCTTGTTGTAACTTCTTTAGAACATAATGAATGTGTTGCTCCTTTTAGATCCAATTACTAATCATAATATTCTTGCCTCATTGATAGCGATATCAAATCATAGAAATGATTTTAATTTATCATATTTTTCACATTTACTTGTCTGTAAATTTTTAACTACAAAGTTTAATGCATAGCAAAACAGTTTTTGACATAAGTTTTTGCAAAGATGCATAAATACACCGTGTTATATTATCGATACTTTTATACTTGTTGAATGTGATAATGTACTTGCTCTAATTTTGATTACCAATATAAATATCGTTATCAAAACACCAACTGTGCATTTTACTGACACTGTAATAATGATATTATCCAAAACTACTCGCTGTTTTTGTGTTAAGATTGATTCAAGTTTCAAATCTTAATTTTGATGATCAATTTCTACTTCAGTTAAAATTGAGTCTTGTCTAACTTACTGGTTGATCACACAAATTGATTATTTAAAACTATTTATAGTTTCTGACCTTACCTTATCATTTCAAAAAGACATGTTAACCACTAAAGAAGAGACCTAACAGACCTAGTACTGGCTCCATAATGAGAGAAGTGCCACTTGGTTGAGAGGGTTAAATAGTCTCTAAATAGTAACTAAACACTACCATGACGTCACTTCAAGGTATATTGCAGTGAAATTGAAATAAAGTATATAATTTTATACCAAATAGTTCCTGGTGTTACGTCAGATCCGTGCTTTGAGTATTTGAGTATTTAAGCTATAGTTTAAATGTAATTTAAATAATATCATGATATTATATACCTTAAAATTAACAATATTTAACACAGCTTCCCATCACCTATTTTACTTTAGCAGAACTGTACCAGGTTCACTGCCCCTCACTGCACCAGGTTCACTAACCCTCACTGTACCAGGTTCACTGCCCCTAACAGTACCAGGTTCACTAACCCTCACTTTACCAGGTTCACTAACCCTCACTTTACCAGGTTCACTAACCCTCACTTTACCAGGTTCACTGCCGGACTCAGCAAGTGGTCTGTGGAGAATGGACCGGGAGTACGGGGTATCCAACACACGTGTCAAACACATTGTTATACACGAGGCCCATATCAGAGAGTCACCTGATAGACACGTGGTAAGTACTGATAGACACGTGGTAAGTGCTGATAGACACGTGGTAAGTACTGATAGACACGTGGTAAGTACTGATAGACACGTGGTAAGTACTGATAGACACGTGGTAAGTACTGATAGACACGTGGTAAGTGCTGATAGACACGTGGTAAGTACTGATAGACACGTGGTAAGTACTGCTAGACACGTGGTAAGTACTGATAGACACGTGGTAAGTACTGATAGACACGTGGTAAGTACTGATAGACACGTGGTAAGTACTGATAGACACGTGGTAAGTGCTGATAGACACGTGGTAAGTACTGATAGACACGTGGTAAGTGCTGATAGACACGTGGTAAGTGCTGATAGACACGTGGTAAGTACTGATAGACACGTGGTAAGTACTCTAGTAGCAGGGTGTAGTTGCACGTGGTAAGTACTCTAGTAGTAGGGTGTAGTTGCACGTGGTAAGTACTCTAGTAGCAGGGTGTAGTTGCACGTGGTAAGTACTCTAGTAGTAGGGTGTAGTTGCACGGATAGACAGAGAGGAGTCTGGGGCAAATTAGAGGAGTCTGGGGCAAAATTTATAGCGTTCACAGAATAACCCCCTTAGGTTTACAGAATACCCCCCTCAGGTTCACAGAATAACCCCCTCAGGTTTACAGAATAGACGTGTTCACACAGGAGAGAAACTGGTGTGTGTACCGGCGCTACAGCGAGTTCCGCAAACTTCACGACAAGATATCAGACAGTTTCAAGATGTTTAAAGGTTCCTTCCCTCCTAAGCAACTGTCTGGTAACCTATCTCCTGCTATTATAGAACAGAGACGGAGTTCCCTGGAGCATTACCTTCTGAAAATAGTTAATTGGTAAGCAGTGTGCAGTGTTTTACAAGTAAATTACAAGTAAATTACAAGTAAATTACAAGTAACAAGTAACTAACTTCAAGTAACAAGTAACTTTATGAGGAATTCGTCACGGCTTGATTTAAAGTTTTAATTTCCCCGAATGGAAGATAGTATTACCTACTTATCACTAAACAAACAATGTTGGAAATCAAAAAGTACTTCTCATGTAACCTCTGTCTCCACAGCCACAACCAGGACGTGTCCTCGTGCTCCACAGATATTGTCTAGTTTTCTTTTTGGCTATAAGCACTATTATCATGTATGTCTCCCAGCCTCTGTTACCCTCTGTCTCCCAGCCACAACCAGGACGTGTCCTCGTGCTCCACAGTACTCCGCTTCCTGGACCTGCACCACAACGACGTGTACTACGTCACCAGCTCCCTGTGCCGCTATGTTAGGACGTTTGGGGAGGCGATTATAAATGAGGGACACTACTTTGTGTTGTCTCCTACTCAGCTGTTTTGTGTTCACAAGAGGCTGAGGATACCCAACAGTGATGCTGGTTAGTTGAAACTAAACAGTGATGCTGGTTAGTTGAAACTAAACAGTGATGCTGGTTAGTTGAAACTAAACAGTGATGCTGGTTAGTTGAAACTAAACAGTGATGCTGGTTAGTTGAAACTAAACAGTGATGCTGGTTAGTTGAAACTAAACAGTGATGCTGGTTAGTTGAAACTAAACAGTGATGCTGGTTAGTTGAAACTAAACAGTGATGCTGGTTAGTTGAAACTAAACAGTGATGCTGGTTAGTTGAAACTAAACAGTGATGCTGGTTAGTTGAAACTAAACAGTGATGCTGGTTAGTTGAAACTAAACAGTGATGCTGGTTAGTTGAAACTAAACAGTGATGCTGGTTAGTTGAAACTAAACAGTGATGCTGGTTAGTTGAAACTAAACAGTGATGCTGGTTAGTTGAAACTAAACAGTGATGCTGGTTAGTTGAAACTAAACAGTGATGCTGGTTAGTTGAAACTTAATTTTAATTTTATTAAATAATTTTAGCGGTTTTGATTAAAGTTTTGACCGATGAGGTCGGTGAGAGTGACACAAGTCTCCATCAAGATACTGGAAGCAGTATACCGGAGAAAACTTGGATGCAATGAACATATTGATTTGTCCTACCGGGCAATGGGTGAAAGTCAAACGTTTTAAACTTTCTAATTCAGACAGCTAGTCAAGAATTTTTGTTGATAATTATAATCGAAAAACTTATTTAATTAATTAATTAACTAATCAATAAATTGTTAATCTAACACTGTTTCAGACTACAAAGCTGACACAGTGTTTTGTGACCTGGGTTCGCTGTACGATTTCCTGGGTCGACTCACTAAAGTTTGTATTAAACCGGCTAGTCTCCAAGACCAGGGTATAAGATGTGAGATTGCTCTTTTAAAGAATGTCAAGGAACTTCAGATCCAGACATTCTCTGTTTCACTTATTAAAGGTAAATTGTTGGGATTTTTCCTTCTTTTCTCTGGTCTAACTGCTGCTGATTTCAACAATGAGGCTTGTTGAAACTTGAGACTTTTTCATATGTTTATTTAAATCCAAGTGTTGTTATATGAGATAGTGTTGGTTAAGAAATACAGTCAAATTTATCATCTGAGGCCTTTTATAGATGGGGTTAAAAAGCAATGCAAACCTATTAAAGTTTTAAAAATTTTACGATTTCGTTTAGCAGGGTAAAATCATTTCTCTGAAACCCGTCTCCTATTTCAGGGCTGGCAGCGGTTCAGTTACAGATACAGCGCCTGAAAGCTACTCAAGCTCTCACTGCTATGAAGGATTTACTGATTGATTGTGTACTTGAAAGAAAAACCCAGGTAATAGGTACTAATTGGTACTAATTGGTGCTAATGTTTGCTAATTGGAGATCATTAGAGATTATCAGATAGCTTTTGTGTCTGAACTCGTAATTCGAACTCGTAATGAAATATTATCATTAGTTGGTGAAGATGTAGTACATATTAACGAGGAAAGAACCTGATCTATAATGGATCAAATTAAGACCACAATATAATATAATACCAAACGACCGAAAACGAGCTTGTCAAAATAACTCGTTTGAATGCTTGAGCTTCTACTCGGAATTTTAATTATGTGCCCCAAAATAACGTTTGATGATCATTCATACAAACACCTCCAAAGCTTAAAGGGGCATATTTCAAAACTATAGAATGTTACGGTGTGACAATTTTACCCATTTTTTCCGAAAAATGTCCAAGAAAACAGGTTCGTTATTGGTTAAATTATGTTTCTAAGGCTTTTCAAACCTACGATTTACATATCTGCCAAAGAAAATAGTGAGAAATCAATCCGTTTTTGAGTAATTAAAAGTCGAAATTTCGTTACGGAGTGACGGGAGGCCGACAAAGGGGGGCCCTCCATTATTAGAGGTCAGATCATATGACGTATAATTAGTGATGTGACGTATAATTAGTGATGTGATCCATCCATGTGATCCATCAGTAGACCCAGAAATGAGCTAGATATAGGGTAGAGTTCACATGTAAATTCTGTAAATCATAGCTGTACATTAAGAAGTAAACATGATCTGACTGCTCGACTCATAGATCACATAAGGGACGGGAGCTCTTGCTAAAGGGGGTTCTCGTATCAAGGGATGTGAGACGTACGTGCCAAAGGCATGCAAGGAGAGTGAGCCGATCAAGTGTTCTTAGGTATATAGGGGGGGGTCCACGTTAAAAAAGTTAAATTCTAAGATCGAGATTTTGGAATTTAACATTAATTACTTTAACTTTTTTAACTTTTTTAACATAAATTAAAAATCAGATTTTGGCTGACTAATCGGTTCAAATTTTAACATAATTACCCAAATTAAACTCAATTATGAGTGTTGACCTTTAGTACTAGTAGTACCTCGCTCTTGCAATTGTTTTCTGTAGTTGTAACTGATTTGATAACTCTACAAAAAAAACACCTTGTATCTATATATACAAATAATTGTATAATTTACTAATATACTTCGACTTACTTCGACTTAGGGCGGCTTCAGCGTCCGAACAGAAATAGTCTCCTTCCAAATCTGTCTATCCAGCATGAGTTTGTTAATCTCTTTGCTGTCGTCAAGCCCCGTGTCCTTCCGAAGGATGTCAATGTATGTGAGATGTGGTCTTCCCCATCGACGATGTCCTTGAAGGGGTTCCCAGAAGAGAAGTTGATGACTCAATAGTTCTTCATGTCTGGCTAAATGACCTGCGAGTCTCATTCTCCGTGCAGCTATCTTATCAGATGCTCTGATGAGGTGTCCATACACCTTGGCGTTAGTCAACTGAGTTGGCCGCAACACTATCTGTTATAAGAGCAAGGTCGTCAGCAAAGTCCGCATCAGTGACCTTGACTGCTATGCCGGATAGCGACGGCTTCTTCTAGGGTGTAGAGTAAACCCAAAGTCCCTAGTCCCTACCCTCTAGGGACACCCTCATAATGTAGCCAATTACGATTATGAATAGGTAGGGCGCCAAAGTGTCTCCCTGCATCACTCCTGCTAGAATGAAGAATGCTTCACTCAGACCATCCTCGGTAATCACACGAGCAAATGTATCTGCATACATTCTTTGTATCAAGCCTACAATCTCCTTGGGAATTCCATATGCCAGGAGGATCTTCATGAGGAGTCCACGGTGTACGCTGTCGAATGCCATCTTGAAATCAATGAAGAGCATTACCGCGGTCAGATCTTTATCCCGGGCTCCCTCAAATACCCTTCTTAGGCCAAGAATATGACTAGTTGTTGACCTACTCTCTCTGAATCCGTTCTGATTGATCCTTAAGATGTCTTCCATGGCAGGTTTGATCCTGTTCAGTATCATCTTATTGAGAGTCTTACTCACTATGGATTTTAGTGCAATACCTCTATAGTTATCTACTTTGGTCAAATTCCCTTTCTTTGGAACAGGCACGATGTTTAGGTGCTTCCATTGGTCAGGAACATCGCCATCATCTAGTGCTTTATTGCAGATGTCAAGGATCAAATCATCAACATCTACCCTCTTCAGTACTTCAGGGGCAACTCCATCCTCTCCAAATGCCTTACCTTCTTTAATCGATTTCGTAGCCTCCTCCAGTTCGGTCTTGGTGAACTTATCCACACTGATGTTTTGTGGTGGATGTACGACTGGTATGTCCACTTCTTCGTTTGGAACTACTGGAGGTTGTCCAAGTAGCTTGGTAAAGTGGTCTTTCCAGGCTCTCAATCTACCCTCTCTACTACCTCCTTCTACAAGACCACATGGCTTCTTCTTTCTCCCACTGACCTCATTAACAAGATTCCAGCTCTCTTTGTTCTTGCATCTATCGGCTGCGTTTTCAGCTTTACTTATTTTCTGTTTAAGCAGCTCTTCCTCCACAGTACGGTAGCATGCAGAGAGAGTGTCTTTCTCCTCGGCAACTGTCTGTCTGTTGTCTTCACAAGGATCCAGATGGTAGGTCTCCTTGGCAGCAAAAAATTTGCTTCTGGCTTCCTCTACTCGTGGGTCGTTGGCAGGATCGTCATACCGCTTCTTAGGTTTATGCGGAAGATGCTTCCTATTTGCATACTTCACTGCTTCAATAAACTTACCATACTTAGTGGTGACGTCACTAGTAGGACCTAGATCTAGTTGCTCCTCACTCAAGAGTGCACTATACCTATTTCTAACTTCAACTCCATACTTGATCTGTAACTCTTGATCAGTTTTGAGACGACTGAAGTCGTAACGTGTGACCCGTGGTGGACTTATGCTCTTTCGTAGACTGAGCTTTACAGTTGAGAGTACTGCCCGATGGTCAGAGCCCAGGGAATTGAAAGAGTTGCATGGCTCAGTGTTCTTTATTGAGCTCATCCACTTCTTCCGTACCAGGACATAGTCAATCTGGCTCCTAGTTAGTACTCCATCTGAGAGGTGAGTCCACTGCTTACCAGGACTCTTCTGAAAACGATGATTCGTCGCCTCTAACTCTCCCTCCAGCAGTGTATCCCTGAGCAGATGACCATTACGATTGGTCACTTGATGCCATTACCATCCCGTATCTTCAGCATTCAACTTGCTGAGGTGAGCATTAAGATCTCCTATTACAAGTAGTAGATGATGAGAGGGGACCTCCCTTACTGCTGCTCTCAAGCAGTCGTGAAACTCTTCGGCTTCTTCGACAGTTGCGGATTCCGTTCGCGTTGGACTATACACAGAGATTATGGTTAATCTTGGGTTTCCGTCCAACGACACAAGCATGCAGCGCTTACTATAGGTCTTGATAAGACTAACTGCATTAAAGGCTTGTTTAGTCAGCAGGAATCCCACTCCTCCTGTAGACGCTTGTGCTCTGTTTCTCCATGCTGAAGTTGTTATTAGGTGGACTCCCTTCTTGTGCCTCTCTATCTTGACTTCTTCATCATGCACAACTCGGTGTTCTTGTATTGCAAGGACAGATATCTGACTGCGCAAGAAAAGAGTAACCATTTCAAGCCGTTTAGAAAACTCCCTCACAGTACGGACATTAAGAGTCCCAATGATACTCTTCGTTGTACAACTAACTACTCCTCCACTATTTTTTTGTTTTTTGATGTTTTCTGTTGGCTTTCTAGGATTCATAAACACATCATCAGCTGCCCGTCCACTATGTGGGTTTAGGACAACCGAGTCATAACTGTACTGATCCTCGATAGGCCTGGTAGGGGCTTGAACCCTAGTGCTTTTGGTTGTGACCATATCTGTTTTTCAAAAGGCTAAGTGACCCAGTGAAGTCCCCTTCACTGTGACAAATGGTCACTAATCCCAATGCCATGCCACCGGAACATTGGGGAAAACCGCAGGAACATTTTACCAACTCGAACATGTAAACGTTAACCACATGAACATAACGTTTATCAGGCTGTATCACTAGCACTCAACTTTACTCTACTCGATCTTCACCTGCTCCATGCAGGACATTAAGCTTATGACCTAAAGCGTAAGGGAGTTAGAGCGTGAAACAGAAATTTCCGCTTTGACGAGGGCTAACTCTCCCTCTGACTACCGAGTACCGGTTACCCTGGCACAGGGAGCTGTATCCTATCTAACAGAGCGTGGTCCAGTCTGACTGGGTCGTAGTAGAATAGGTTTGGAGGGTAACAGCCTACACCTCTTTAACTACTGTGCAATCCACAATAAAGATTTATGAGTCTCCGAGCCCCTTGTGAGCCAAGAGTTTAGGAGTCAATGACGTTTTGTGATTGAGCTCCTCGGGACTCATTGTTTCCCGTCGCCCTTCCTGTATTTAGCCTGGACACAGCCCAGTTTCCAGTCTTCACCACGTGGAGGTAGCAGGGGAGGACTTGATGTGGAGTGGCTATCAACATGTTGACTGATGATTAACTGGAAGGGGGCACCACAGGGATACCCCTTTTCAAAGTTCTGACAACCTCACGGCAGCACAGGGTTTCTATCCAGCAGTGACACTTTGGGCCACCTAACCTTCACACAACCATTGGAAGACCAAATAATATAATCATTCATATAATAGGAAAGAGCATGATATGTCGGCCAACCACAAGTACACAGTAGTGGTCAATGGGTTGGAATTGCGGGCAGATTACAGGTAGTAGCGAATGCTATTGATGCCAAGTATAACGGGACGTCAGAAACTGGGAAGGAGTAGGCAGAGTATTTGGGGGATGAACATTACAGTCAGACTTCAGTCGGGACCCAAGGAAATGGCTCGCAGCCCGACCAATACTCATTAGAAGGGTGGCTGTCACGATATGGTCTGGAATGTTACACGGAACAGTTGGAAGAGGCGGGATTTGGATCACCCAGTAATTTCCAGTGTGTTCAGGAAAGTGACCTGGACAAGTTAGAAATATTTGACAAATGTCATCGGCTGACTATCCTGCATGCAGCCAAATGGATCCTTATTAGAGGAGTAGCTAATATCGTGAAGGGAGAATGTTAGAATCCACGAAAATAACATCCCCTGGCCCTCCTCGTCAGGAAACACAAATTGTATTGATACTTTTATAATGGACAATGGTACATAAATAAATTTACATATTTCTGAATAAGTTTCAATGTTCCATTTATTTAATATTATACAGCTAAATTAATATTATCCAGCTAATTTATTAAATTACTTTTGCAGATATTTTCATTTTATTCTCTCGATAATTGAAAGGTTTTATTTTACCCAGCTCGGTAGTTTTGAATTTCAATTGTTTTTAACATTTAATCAGTTTAATGATCAAATGTATCAATTATTTATCGGTTGTACCTATGTTATATGACTGTTTTACTCTTGTCATGGGCATTCCTATATTCTTACATGTAATGACTAATGAACAAAAATACCAACGCATGACCTAAAAGTAAACTAGTCTAGAATATTCACTTCATTGCAATTTCAACCCAAATTTGAATTTATGTTAAAAAAGTTAAACTTTCTAAGCCTGAATTTTGAAATTTAACATTAATTACTTTAACTTTTTTAACTTTTTTTAACGTGGACCCCCCCCTATATATACTGAAAGATGAAAGACAATAGTATCGCATTCTTACATTCTATCAACATGCCTACCTTCTCCAAATTCATCTCTGGTCGGACAGGATCTCAACAGCTACTTGACTCTGATGGATTCATCTACTGTCGGAAGAAGAACAAGGATTCAGCCCTCACATCTTCCTGGCGGTGCTGCAAGCACAAACTCCCTACGAAGTGTCCGTGTCTCTGCTATCTATCCCTCTCAGACGATTCTTTCCGATTCTCTTTGATGGTTCTACAGATCGGGGAGTCAGAGTCATCGTATTCTCCACGAGCAGGAACATGAAGACACTGTCGACAGGTTGAGTGTTGGCAAGACACCCGCTAAGAGGCGAAGGAATTGCCATACCCAACTCCACGATATCTGTTCATTTTACTCCACATACTCTAGCAAGATCGAGTATTTGTTTTCTGTAGCCTCAGTTTTTGGGCACGATATGTAGTAAATTATAATTAATGTATTCAGTATTCAGTATTCAGTATTCAGTATTCAGTATTCAGTATTCAGTATTCAGTATTCAGTATTCAGTATTCAGTATTCAGTATTCAGTATTCAGTATTCAGTATTCAGTATTCAGTATTCAGTATTCAGTATTCAGTATTCAGTATTCAGTATTCAGTATTCAGTATTCAGTATTCAGTATTCATTAAATTTGATTAATTATTAAAAATGTCTATTGACTTGTTAATTTAAATCAAAAGTACGGGGTTAAACTGGGCTAGATATAGGGTATAGTTCACATGTTCTGTAAATCATCAGCTGGTGGATCACATCACTAATTATACGTCACATCACTAATTATACGTCATATGATCTGACCCCTAATAATGGAGGGCCCCCCTTTGTCGTGCAGCCGGAGTGACTAGATAAATTTTCAGATTTTGGTACACCCATATTCTGACCTAATTTTTATCTCAGATATTCTTGAAAGTTGCATTTTGACGGCTTCCAGGCACTTTTCAGACATTTTCCTTCAATAATTAATCAAGAAAAAGTGTGTATTGCCTAAGGAATAAAAAATTTGAGGCTTCAAAAATTTTGGGGATTGTTACGGAGTGACTGTTACGGAGTGACGCATCAAACAGTCTCTCATTCCACTCGAGTTTTTCATCATTTTTCATCCTGTTCCTGGCTCTAAATAGTAGAATTCTTTTCAAAATTAGATAGATAACACTTAAACAAGGTAGACACACAAATTTGTTGATGTGAAATAAATCAAATCTGGTACAATTCATTAGTCTTGATCACAATTATGAATAAAAATACGATCATGTGATAAAAATCAACCCTGGAGCTTACAACTCTGTAAATTTCCCTTAAAATACAGCACATTTAAATCACTGTTTGAAAAATATAAACAACTGCATAAAAATCAGTCTCATTGGTTTAACTTTCTACAAATATTACTCGGTTAAGAATCTGTTACAGAGTGACATATCATAATGAAATGTTTAAAAATCTGGGCTTATTTGTTTAAAGTTATAAACTGTACAATGTACACAGATTAACGAAAATTCAAACCTTTACACCCCACTTATAAGCAAGTTCAGGTACTTCAAACTCTATTCTTCTCCCTGTTCCCGGCAAAAGCTTCGGAATTCCAATAGCTCCTTTCACGTCACTAAGTTCGTAATCATGGACGTCCTCTTTGTCAGGCCATTTCCAGATTGATCCAGGTTTTCCAGTGCAGCTGCTGTCTGGCTTGCCAATAACTTTTCCTGGGTAAAGTTCACCCTCCCACTTAACAATCACGAATTGATCAATGTTGTAAGTTTCACAGCTGTTAGAAGATGATGGTGTTTCCTCCTCTCCAATAACTGTTGTTGAAGTCGTCTGAGCAGATGATTCATCGGCATACTCTATCTTCTTTATCAAAGATCCATCAACTGACGTGTCCCTAAAGGTAAGGATGCAGCTGTTATCTTTGAAAGAACGGACAATGTGGTGCACTTTCAAGGTTCCTGGAACTGGTCTTGCTTTCCTTCTGCACTCCTCTTCCATACCTGAGGCTAGATCTCGGATCTCCAACATACACGACATTTATTGACTTGAGAAGACTGTCAGCATAGGTTGCAAACTCCTTTGGTGTATTTATGACAACCTGATTGGACAGTATCTTTCTGAAGACAGAAATGTCAATAAAAAAATTCGTTACGGAGTGACAATGTCCCTTGAATTTGTCACTCCGTAACACAGCGTTACGGAGTGACCAAAGTTTGGCTCATCATATCTCCTCTTAAATTATAATGTTATCAATCGAAAATGTTGGAAAATCTTAGTGTAAGGTCACTGAGATACTTCAGAAAATATGGAATGCAATAGGTGTGTAGTTAAGAGAATAGATAACTTTTTGACACTTTTTTGTTACAGAGTGACAAAATTTTTTAAACCACATTTTCCCCATGTTAGCTCTTTCTCCTTGATTGGGCTTTATATCAGTCTGTAAAAATGAAATCTCATATACTAACACACAAAATTTGGGTTTAGTTCAAGCAAAGGCCTAATCTAGAGACGTTATGAAGTAGAGCACACTTTTGAGGATTGTTTTAGTGTCGATGATAGAATGAGCTATTTTTGCATGATAGAGTAGATTGATGTCTCCAATATTGCAGATTTTCAAAGTATAAAGTTCAAACATTCTAAAATTTCCAAAATTGGATTGATAAAAGCATTTCTGAAATTTCCTCCAAGTGGAACCAGTTTTGAAATATGCCCAAAGAAAGTATTTTAAATGTGTTTGCTTAATCTGTAATATGTGAGTCGGGTTGATTAAAATAGTTGAAATAGTTGAAATAGTTGAAATAGTTGAAATAGTTCCCCATCGTTCAAGGTGACCTACAACGGAAAGGGACTATGGAAGTCGAGATCATGGGAACTAACCGTTCCCGTTTTAGTAAGAGTTCCCGTTTTAGTTATGTTTTAATAATATGATCCCCGTGTATGAAATACATTTTATCGTACGGTGGATTGTCGAAGTGATTAATATCCACTGCTCATGCTGGATTGAAGATTGACATACCTGCCCCGTTTTTCTAATGGAATTATAAAATGTTATACTAATTACCTATTCACAATAATAACCTGAAATATCGTAAGTTACAATCAATCCCAAAATTTTACTGTTCGGCTGTAAACTTTAAACTGTTCATCGTAAATTCAAGTCAGATTTTTGTTGTATCTCAGCTATACAAAAATACAATTATATTTTACACCAGTGCATGGTTTTGAGCACCGTATTCTCATATTCTGTATACTGTATTGTATAAAAACGTAATCAATCTATTTCCTTAATCCGATTTAAACCGGTGTAAACTCAGTAAATTTGGTTTAATTTTAATTTTATGCTGGCGCGTTGCCAAATAATCAGGATCGCTGACAAAAGTGCCACATGTTGTAAAAAGCTAAAAATAAGAATTATGTCTATTTAATTATGTCTATTGTGTGATCATGGGGAATTTACAGATTTGATTTTGGAATTTAGGGAGTTATAATTGATGACCCATCTATACTACGAGATCTATTATGTACATTTAAATTTGTGTAAATGATCAGTTAATTAATTAGTGTATTGATAAATTAATAAATCAATTGATCACTAATTACCAATTAATTGATAATCCCTAATTTTTCAGCCCAAACAGCCAGCAGCGGAGAGAAGTGAGTCCAACACTAAAATGAGGGACTCGTACAACTCAAAAATGATGTTCAACTCGTACGTTTAAGTTTAATAATTTAATTGGTCGGATTGAATCTGGTTAAACTGTTGAGGCTGCCTAGCCTCACTTTAATTAAACAATTATGTAATTGGCTTTAAGATATAATTAACCTAATTAACCACATCTACATCTTTTCAGGTTCACGATACACCCGTGGATATCACTACTTTATCTAGACCTATCTCACAATTCTATCCGACAACTTGACGACTCTTTCTCTCTGCTTCCCAACCTCCAGGTTATTACTAATTACTAATTACTAATTACTAAGTAGTTGCTAATTAGGTAAGTAGTTGCTTATTATGTAATTAGTCACTGAGTATTATTAATACTATAATTACCTTTAGTTTACTGATAACTGAGTATTATAATTACCTATGCAGATAATCGATTTATTCATTTTACATTATACTGAACTTGTGGAGTTGGTGAATTGGTGATCGTCAACATTAAACTGTGATATTCATTTATTATTGAGTAATTCATGCTAAATACATTTTCACCGCACGTCATAATTGAAAGAAACTCACTCATCGGGCAATATAAATGGTGAGTTCTGTCATTACCTATCGCTACATGCAGTCTTAGTTAAGGTTCATGTTGTATGTGTCTTTTTGTTGTTCTTTTTTTCGAGGTTTGTTCCAAATTTAGTACAACAATAAACCCTCGTCAATTACTAGGTACCGTTCACTTATTCACTTATTCAGCGTCAAACCCGATTGACCATACTCCGATTTAATGAACCTGTTCCCTTTCCCCAAAATCCCCGCAGGGGGGGGGGGGGTGTTATATATTTTGATATCTTGGTTAAGGTTCATATTGTGAGTCTGTTCTGGGGGTTTAGTATAACGTGTTAGCCTGTTCGGGGTGGGGTGGCAGGGGTGCTGAGGGAAATGTATGGCGAAGTTGGCTGGGAGAGCAGGAGTAAGAATGGGAGAGGGTTACTGGCTCGAGCGACCAGTCCAAAATTGTGTAAAAAGTGGAAATTGAGTTGGTCTACATGCAGTCTTAGTTAAGGTTCATGTTGTATGTGTCTTTTTGTTGTTCTTTTTTTCGAGGTTTGTTCCAAATTTAGTACAACAATAAACCCTCGTCAATTACTAGGTACCGTTCACTTATTCACTTATTCAGCGTCAAACCCGATTGACCATACTCCGATTTAATGAACCTGTTCCCTTTCCCCAAAATCCCCGCAGAGGGGGGGGGGGGGGGGGGGGGGGTGTTATATATTTTGATATCTTGGTTAAAGTTCATATTGTGAGTCTGTTCTGGGGGTTTAGTATAACGTGTTAGCCTGTTCGGGGTGGGGTGGCATGGGTGCTGAGGGAAATGTAATGCGAAGTTGGCTGGGAGAGCGGGAGTAAGAATGGGAGAGGGTTACTGGCTCGAGCGACCAGTCCAAAATTGTGTAAAAAGTGGAAATTGAGTTGGTCCTAAATTAAGTATAGATCATGCAGTTTGCCGTTAAGCTGCAAGCATGCTGATGCGAACTTCGCAAAAGTTATCACTCGCTAAATAAATGATTACTGTAAAAGGTATACCTAGAGTGAAACACTTTGGTTGAGTCTCATAATGATACTGCTGCCCCGTTTTACATGTTATAATAGTGTCTCCCCCAGCAAACACAGCTTCTATTCCGGGAGTCTGAGATTCGCATTTGACAGTGAGTCTTGTATTGGCATTGATAGGGAAGGATTGTTCTGCAAGTGCAATGTTATTCCAACTAGAGTAGAATCCGTTGCAGGGAACTGCATCTGGTTACTATAGTTACTAGTTACTATAGTTACTATAGTTACTATAGTTGCAGGGAACTGCATCTGGTTACTATAGTTACTAGTTACTATAGTTACTATAGTTACTATAGTTGCAGGGAACTGCATCTGGTTACTATAGTTACTAGTTACTATAGTTACTATAGTTGCAGGGAACTGCATCTGGTGAGAGGTGGAGGTCATGAGAAATATACTGCTGGATCTTTAATGTCTTACTTATTGTACATACCCGCAGATATATATGTGTTTTACGTTTTGAATTTTTGATAGAAATATTTTTAGATCATGAATACGATGTTGTAACATTGAAACGTTGAGTAAATTCCGTTCCTGATAAGAGCATTTTTCCTTGTCGCATCAAACGGGATCAATACAATTTTACACAAGAATACATTGCAACCATGCGACTCATAAACAATACTCCAATACGGATTTTACCTTCCTTACTCCTAATCTTTACAATCCTAGTAACGAATTTTGGTTCAATAAAATCGAATTTATCAAAAAGAATTTATAAAATTTGGAAAGGCAGTTGTAGTACAGTGAGCAGCCTATTTACATACCTTTGCAGCCGTATGCACCAGGTTTCCTCACTGTCCCTTCATCACAGCTACACATGTAGACTCCCATACCCGTTGAATAGGAGGCGTCTGGGCATCCTTTGCAGATGTAGGTCTTAGTGCCGTATGAATCTGACTCCCACCGTAACATCTCATTCGTACCGCAGACTTCGAAAAAATCAACTCTTAGTAATAGTATACTTCAATTTGTGATAAGATCGGTAAAATAGTCAAAAGATTAATAATTTAAATTTGTGATAAGATCGTTTGGAATCTTCAATTAACTTTGTAAATCTCAAATTCTACTTATATTATTCTACTTATTCTACTTAATTCTACTTATATTATTCTACTTATTCTACTTAATTCTACTTATATTATTCTACTTATTCTACTTAATTCTGCTTATATTATTCTACTTATTCTACTTAATTCTACTTATATTATTCTACTTATTCTACTTAATTCTACTTACATTACTACTTTGAAACGTCGTTTATCCTAACAGTGCAATATCATTTGTCGCAAATCAGAATAATCAGAAACTATTTGGAAAACCCAAAAACTGTCTACTTACATTATTCTACTTATTCTACTAAATTCTACTTATATTATTATACTAAATTCTACTTACATTATTCTACTTATTCTACTAAATTCTACTTATATTATTCTACTAAATTCTACTTACATTATTCTACTTATTCTACTAAATTCTACTTATATTATTCTACTTATTCTACTTATTCCTAAAGTGTCTAACCTGGCGAGTTCTGGTTGTTGTACCTCAGCGCAACAGCTCTATAACGCAGATGGTCATATGCAGCGCTAAACTTTATATCAACCAGTTTTTTATCCCTTAGTCCACTGCCACATATACCAGCTTGGGTAAGTGCGAAGAAGAAATTTGGGTTATTCTCACAGAATATCGTGACCATGCTATTTGTAAATTGCAGCATATAATAAGAGGGAACTTCCTGGCAAGGATTTGGAATTTCTATCTCTCCCATTTTCCCTGACCGTGAAGTCCAGTTGAGGAGAACTGTGCACTCCTGATTATTATCCTTGAAGCTCATTGTCATTTCGAACTTTTGATGTGGATAAAAGGTCATGACTAGATTGTTGTTGGATATCTCCTCGTCGAAACTAAGGACATAGTTTACTTCTTGTTGAGCTAATTCTGACACCTCGCCCCAGTCTGAAAATACGATTTTGTGGCACGTCAGAGTTCAGAAAAATAAAATAATGGAAATAATAGCAATGTTATGACACAAAATTAAGTTTCGGATAAAAATAAAAATTCAGATAAATAGAATAATAAGTTTAGACGACGTAAGCCTCAATAATATCGTTTCTGTAAGACGTAAGTATGACTTACTTGTGCCTGTATCACTTTCACAAGAGATACATTTTAGAAGTGCGGCTGTTATTAAGAGGTTCCCCAGACACATATTTCTTCTTTGCTCATAAACTGCTTAAATAGCTGTTCTTCTTCAACAAAAACTTGTTTGATTAGCTAAAAAGATTATTTATTGTAATCGGAGAAAGCAAGACAAATGTTGGCCACAACTTCGCAAATTTAAACCAAACGAGCGTAAAAGTTTTATATGAAGGATGACAATGTACGAACCATATAATATCATCTATTAGTATTAAAAAGGTCACATTATCATGGAAACATTTAGACAAGTCTTTTCTAGACAGCATAATATTCTTCACGCCATCAATTTGGATAAGACCAAGTTTATAACAACAATATATTATCAAACTCCGAAAACGCTTCAATATTCCCCTGCTCCTCTTTGCGGCTAGAAGTCTGCTTCACTCAAAGCTCGGCACTTTTCACACTGATCACATATCGACATATTTCAAGGAGTAATAATGAAACATAAAAAGCGCAGACCTGTTAGAGAAACAGCTTGAGAAAGTGAGCGGTTTAATTCGAGCAGACTAGATTAGCACAATTATCCGAAAAGGAACGCAAATGGCTTAGGCCATTTACAGCCACTCATGAGCTGCAGGGACAAAAGGAAATCGCTGCATGTACGGAATCGCGATTTTTCCCATTATTTGCGACAAATTTTATGTATAATTTAATGTATAGTCTGTTAAAATTCGCGGTATCGCGATTTTTGGCCAAAATAATCGCGAAATCCTTTTCTCCCTGATGAGCTGGAACAATTAACATTATGAGAACTAAGACTTGAAAGCCAGTGTCACTAGTGATAACATGAACAGCCGCAGTTCTCAATTCACATGAGAATAAAGGTACTATGCTATGGTAGCTGGTCACAAACAGAGATTAGGGTTCACAGCATCCTCAGTTTCAGGATGAAACCAAAACTTAAAATTCAAGGCAAGTGCTCCGGGCAAACAAAAACAGAGTTGAATTCATGGAGCACTGCTCAAATCATGCCTCCATAGAACTGGAACCTTTATAAAGTTATAATCCTGTCATGATATTTACTGGTCTCCAACTCCCCCAATATTATATTGTAACCAATATATCAATGAACAATTGATATCATCTCAGATAAACATCACGTGGTCCACTTCAACCACTCAGTACCGCGAACAGAACGGTAAAACTACCGGATCCCAGCGTAAGTAATTACTTGGTAATTACTGAGTAATTACTGAGTTATTAATAGGTTCAATAGAACGACCTGTTTGAGAAAGCTAAAGATGAATCATCACTCCATCATCACTGAAACTGATGGGCATATGCCCGGATGAGCATTGTCAATGGGCCGTTTAATGATATCGTTTAACCTTTAACCTTTGTGTTTTTAAGACTGTCTCTTTTTTATAGGTCCGCTGGATCACTTAGCTACCTATTAAAATTTAAACGGAACAGCAGACAGCTTTAAAGTCTTTACTGGGGTAGTTCCTGTAGCAAAGTGGTC